CAGAGTCAGCTGCAATTTGCCTACAAAATCCTAAAACAAATCCATCCCTATCTCTGGTATTTGTGGTAAATACTGAGCAGCAGCCTGAAATACTCACAGACACTGAGTCCCTACAAAATCTGCCCAGAAAATGGAAGTTTCAGGTGCCCCTCCATGCACAATTTAGGTTTTGTAGAATGGATTAGTCAGTTCCATGAGACCTGGAACAAAAGGTAATTGAATATTCAAGCAGCCCTTAAGAACTGTATTACCTGATGCAAAATTGCTGCTGCTGTGGATTTTTGCAAACATGAAAATACAAAATTTTACAAAGGTGAAGATTTAGGGAAGGTGCTAAAATTATGCCATTATCATCCCCAGGTAACTATATGGCCTTTAATGAGGTAACAAAGTGTATGAAGTAGAAATTAAACTAGAAATTAATAATGTTTCTTAATGATCATTAGCTCAAGAGTACTTAGGGCTGGGATTGTAAAAGGAGTCTAAGGCAGTTATATGCTGAGTTTAAAGTGATCTGGGGACTTGGGAGGATTTAACTGCCTGTTTCTCTTGGGTTTCTCTGAAATCCCAGCTGTGCTCTGTACACTCACACACAGCAATGGTCTGTCTGTCTGTCTGACAGCAGGAGATCCTCCTCTTTGTGCAGTATGTGCTGTGCCAGCCTGACCTTGGCCCAGACCTGCAGCTATGCCTTTGTCTCACATTTATCAGAGAAGCTAACACTGTCCATTAGATAATTTATATACTGCAGCTGCTTTTCCATCAGAGTCACCCAGGACATGGCTGAGCTGTTTTGTCTCTCTTGTTGGGCTGAGGGCTACAGACAGTGACCCAAAGCCATTGTCCTGGCTGCAGGCATTACCCTCATCCCATGCCCCATGCTTCCACCCTGACATCCCGTGGGCAGTGGAGGAGAAAGCATCACAAGCAGCATTGGTGCCTGGGAAGCTGGCCCTACATGGCATGGAAAGAGCTGCAGGAAAGGGATCAGCGGGGAAGAGGCTCTATGGCCTTTCCTCAGCTCTGCTGCTTGTCATAAATGAGATAATGTGAGCCTATGCCAAAAGGCAACAAGATAGGGAGTGTTGTGTGATGTTACAGAAAGGGCAGGCCATAAACATTACAGAGAGGAATTAGCTATACCCTCATGTGAAGATACTAATATGTGGGCAGTTCATTTATAACGAATTGGTTGGACTTTTTTCAGATTGCCTCCACTCCACTGCCTGTGTTTACAACTTCCTTTTGTCCTGTCCTGCCTTTTCCCAGCCAGTACACATGGGACTTTAACTCACATCAAAGTCCCTTCCACTCTCTTTGGCAGACCTGTTGGGACAGTGTCAGGCATTATGTCAGCCCAAACAGCCAGAAAATCTTTCCAATATCCTTAAAGAACTCCTTTCACCTCTGCAGCATTCATACTTCCCTAAATATACCTCACAAGGCCTGGGATTTGAATTCCTGGCTGTTTCTCTCTTCAGCAAGGTGTTCCTGGCACAATGAGCTGAATAAGAGATAAAAGAAGCCAGTAAAATCTGGTTTATGCAAGATGCTTTGCTGATTTGCAGATTAGCTCTCCTGTATTGTTTTACCTTTTGTTCCATCATCTCTCGGATCATGGAAACTCCTACTTAGCTCTCTTTTGGCTGGTTTTGGATCTCAGTTTTGATGTTTAGGTAGTGGATATTTCCAGTTTAGGTGTTAGTTATCAGATCTCTGAGGACTGATAACTGAGATGGTTAAAGAAGCTTGATTTTAGCACCCTGTATGCTGACCCTGCTGGGGAGAGTTTTGATTCCAGAATACTTTCATTTAAGAGCACTTTCTCTATGTTACTGAGAATAAGAGGTCTACAGAGTATATAATGTCAGACACTGGAGAGAAGGAAGGTAAGATAACTGGACACTGTGCAAGATATGAAGAAGAGTGTAAAGAAGCGGAAAGAAAAAACAATCTCCTGTTTTCTCTCCTCGGGGAGTTAATGATGAGCTCAACAGTTAAATCCTATTGAGATATGCTCATTGTTATAGAGACATACTGTTCCTCCAGGAAAATATATTTGTGTTCATTATGGATCACCACATTTGGTTGCACTCAATGCATCAAAATAATCTAGGCAGGACCACAAGATGGTAAAGAAAAAATAATTTTCCTCTAAATATTGGTGTTTGGTGGTTTTGTTTTTCTTTTTACATTTCTACAAGGTAAATGTACTCTGTGCTTTGAATGATAACTTTGTAAAAAAAAAAAATTATATACTTTTTCAGAAACAGCAAGCTACAATGTTATTACTTTCAGGCCTTTGTTTAAAATGTGATTATTTTTTTTGCAGATTGTGTCAGCAGAGATTACTAATTTTGAGCACCTATAAAAATGATGGGTTGAACTGATCCTTGACACAACAAGTAACTCCCAAGCCCAGCAATTAGTCAGCTATAGGATGAGTATGAAGATTCTAGTTAGGCTTAATTGCATATAATCATTGAGAATCAATAGTAAAAGAATGGTGCTTGCCCTTGATTGCCAGTGGGTAGAACCAATAATTGTAATGCTGTGTTAATTTAAGACTACTTTCTTGTTCACCTGCTTGAATTAATGGGAATTTTTAGCAGTTTCTCTGCCTGCCTTTCTGAAACTTGTTTTTCATTTATGACAAATTTAAAATCAGTAGGCCAGAGAATGAGAGCAGTGATCACAGCATGGGAGATGCAACAGAAGCAAAGAGTCTGAAACTTACCTAAACTAAAGTAAAGGACAGCAAAAACTACTGCAGGAAATTGAGCCTCATCATCTAAAACAGAATGTTACTGATCTTAACTATGTGCCAGTGTGACTCAGTTATGACCAAGGCAAACACAGTCCTGCCTGCCCAGAGTGATTGCAAATCTCCTGGCTGACCCTGCACCACTGCCTCCACAAGGGTGATGTGACAGACACACAGACAAGGCTGAACCCTGTCCCCACCCTGATGCTGCTCCCCATCACAAACCCCAGCTCAAGAGCCGTCTCAGCTGCTTCTCTGAGTTGCACTCATGCATCTCCCCTTCCTACATCAAACCCCATCACAAAGATTCTGTTATCTTGTGTCTGGAGCTTTGGCTTTTAAAAAGAGATTTTTTTACTAAATCTTGAAACTCTCCTTCTCCTTTCAGCATCTGAAATCAGTCAGGGGGTAAGGGGGGAGCACTTGGTGCAGTGACAAGTAAACACAACTTGGTGCTAAGTCCTGCCAAACTCCTCCTGGAAGCTTTGCAATGTGCTTGTGCCAAACAGATGTTGAAAGCTGGCAGTCACGGATGTACTTTGTGGTGCAGCTCATGGCAGAGAGAAAAAGCTCCACTGAACAAAGCAGCTCATTCCAGGCTCTTCTCCTGACCTGCTCAGACCACATTACCTGCACCTCTGTCCCCTACACCACCACAGTCTAGATTTAGTCTGTTAGGTTTAAATAGAAAAGGCCATCCCTTACAGTGTTTGCAGAGTGCCAGACACAGTGGGCTCACATTTTGGAACAGACCCATACAACTGCTATCAGGACAAAATTCTAATAAGCCCTTGGCTGTGAGGTATCCCACTATGAGTGCTCTTGCACTCCTGGATTAAATATTTTTGCACACACACAAACACACACCTGCTCTTGGGATCATGCAGAGTCTAAACGGAGCACAGGAGTCACAGTGTCACTTGGAACAAAAGGGAATTTGATGTTACCCTGGTAGAGAACACTTAAGTCTGTTGTTACTTTTGGAGACTGTCCTGCTATGAATGGATAAAATTTCAAAATGTTTCCCCCTGTAACAGAGGAAAAGGGAACCTAATTGCCAGATATTCCTGTAGGAAAACCTTTATCTTTCAATGTTCTTCCAAAGAGTGATTAGAAGAACAGCCTGATGGGGAGCCAAATACTAGTTCTGTAAAAGGTGGTCTGAAGTCAGTGTTGCTTCCTTAAGCCACAGGTGTTTATTCATTACAATTCTACAGCAGTGCCAATAGACACCATAAAGCCAAATAACCCAACAGTTATAAATCTTTCTCCCTGAAGCAATGATAAGCACTTGAGATAAGATTTGCCCGTCCTTGTAAATGTGTAGGACTACACCACTTCCATTTTATTCTGGGATTCAGTGCAGTGGTCAGTGACAGGTGATCAAATCTAGATCTCTCATCACTCGAATGTAATTTTACTTCTTCCATTTGTGTGTGGCTTAAGAATGCTCCCCAACAAAAAGCAACGCAGACTGTACCCAACCAAAGTGAGACCTTAAAACTAAGGGTGGCTCATGTCATCTCCATGACTCTGCCTTCTCTCAGCTCTTGTGCCTAGCAGGGGTGTCAGTGGTCAGATGAAATGGTTTCTTCTTTGTTTCTGTGACAGTAGGGCAATTTGTCCAGTCTGCCCACCACAGGCTATTTTTGCTGGTGCCTGTGCAGGGAGGAGAACCACACAGTAACCAAGAAAGAGCTCAAAGCACCATGCAGGCTGGTCCTGCTCTTCCATCCTCCACCAAATTTCAAGCAATGATAGCCTCCCTTCCAGATGACTCTGCAAGCTACCAGGATTCAAAGCTGTGTTTGTTTCTGTCATGCCTGGTTGGCTTTTAACTGGTGTACCACTTAATTGCAAAAAGCACTGGCAGAAAGCAAGCTGCCTTCAGTTTCTTGGCCTTGTTTCTCAGTGTTATTTAGATTCCAAATAGGCACTTGATGGCACAGCCAAAAATATAAAGAGGAGATAACTGTGATTTTGACCACCTTCCATGAAGCATTCCTGACTGGGTTAATGTTCTGCATAGAAACCTATCTCTCATTTCCTAGATGGATTTTACTCCTTTGCTAAAGAGACTGCAGAAGAATCTCTTATGTGTCATTTAAATCCTGAAAATGAAGCCAAAAGTAATTTGAAGGATGAATAGGGGTTGTGGATAGGGGTATTCTTTCTCTCACAACTTTCCTGATATAATTTTCTACTCTGCCACAGCTATTTTATTTTTCATTTCCAGTTTTTTCTAACAGAATACACCGGGCCTCTTCTCATATATCTGCTCTTCTACATTCGCCTCTCAACTATTTATGATCAAGTGGAAAGCAGGAAGAACTTCCGCCACCCAGTGGTTCAGTAAGTGACATTTGTGGGAATTATTTTATCTTCCTGGATCATGAGAAACCAAAGGGATGGAGATGGCAATTCCAGAGCTGAGGATGTTACAGGGGGTATGAGGCTGCCTGCCTTATGTCAGATTCAGTTATTACCAACACCTGTGTGTCATTTTAGCAGCACTCATAAGCTTGACCAAATATGGGATCCCAGCAATGGATCACCATGGAGATTCAGTTATTACCAATACCTGTGTGTCATTTTAGCAGCACTCATAAGCTTGACCAAATATGGGATCCCAGCAATGGATCACCATGGAGATGCAGTGTTTTCCTCAAATACTTTGACATCACGTCAGAAAGTCAAATAATAATCACAGTGGGTAGTAACCCAAAGTCATGCTTGACAGAGAAGACAAGACTTCAGGTGCCCCACTCCCATTCCTGCTCTTGAGATGAGCAGCATCAGCATCCAGCACAGAAGATAACTACCCCAAACCAGCTCCCACCTAGGCACAGGAAGGAGGAAATTCCACAAGTGTGCACGTCATGAGTCAGGTCAAGAAACTCAAAAGAAGCATCTCCACAGGACAGAGGTAGAATGCACCAGGCAGACTGGGAACTTTCACACTTAAAGGGACTTTCCTTCAGTGGAATTGTCCCCATTTTGGGTGATTAGTGCCTGGCAGAAGGGTGACAAGTGATCAAGGAAAGCCTGGACCACTTATAGGAGGGTACACAAGCACCTTGGAGGCTCAAGGACTGTACAGCTTTCCCACACACTTTTTCCACACTGTGACTGCAGAATCAGGGGAACTGGTACACAGCAGAGAAATACAGTGAGTAATAATGCCATTTACAGATGGAGGAACAGGCACTTGGAGAGACATTAAGGGAGTTAGTGGAGCTGGGAATGAGAACACAGAATAATTGAATTCAAATCCAGAGCTGCAAGATGCTTGTCTTCCTTCTCTTGTGCATATGCTTAAAAGGAGAGAGTTTCTGGCAGCATAGAAGAACCTGCAATGCCTTTGCCTTCTTTTAGGTGGGCAAGGGTTGTGCAGAATCCTGCCAGTGACCAGTCCTTAATGGGTTCATCTGAGGTCCTCATCCTAAGCCAAATTAATTTAAAAATTTCCAGCAAAGCTGGAAATTTGCTCCAGGCTTTGGATAAGTCGTTAATTGTTCAAAATTCTCTTAGCTCAACTCTCTCTGGTTTAATTACTTTGAAATTGTTTAATCTTTGACTTTAGCTACCATACACAATGCATAATAAAATTATTTGAGAATTCACATGCTGAAAAACACTTTTCATTTATGTCTTGTAATTGGTTTGCAGCAGGAAGGGCTATGGTAGTACAGTAAATGTAACCAAGATAAAATGCCATCAGGAATCACTCCTGACATTTGTTTCTGAAACTCAATCACTAGGAGCTGCAGCTCATTCTCAGAAGCAAATCAGCAATGCCTGTTATTGTTTCATAATCTTCCTCAAAAGAGAATCAATATAATAATTTCTACCACAATTGCCTCATTTCTTTATAACAGGCAACAAAAAAGCCATCAGAACGGATTAACTCGCAACAAAATCTCATTTTGCGTCCACAAGGAAATGAAACACAAACTACCTCCATGTAGCTACTTGAGTTGGCAAAGGACAAGGAGACCATTCAGAAGACATTCAGAATGTTTTTAAATGTCAGACACATCCTACAGGAGCATTAAGGTGGCCTTAAAACGTGGGAGACATCTTTTGGAAAGGCACGTCAGACGCCTGGCTGTACACGCAGCTGTCCTGTCTAAATGTCTTGTCAGGACTATGTATCACATTCAGAGCTCCAGGAGCTCTTTTTATTTCAAGGCTAGTAAAAATAAGTTGCATCCCTGCAAAATGCAAGCAACTTTGTCTAACACTGAAAATTATTCCATTAATCTTTGGTTCCAGATGCTTCGATTAAGACAATATCTTAAATCCCACAATTTTAATGTGACTCTGCAGTTTTGGAGTATTAGTTCTTATTCCTTTCATGACATTAACTCTGAAGTAATAAAAACAATCTTTCACTTACCTTAATTTCTTTTTTTTTCTGTGTCTTGCAGCTTGGCCTGCTTCTGTCACTGTTTACACTACATCAGGCATCTTCTGGAGACATTATTTGTTCACAAGTTTTCGGAAGGGCACACTCCTCTGAAAAATATGATAAAGGTGACAATATTTTTATCATCTTGTGTAAAAGAGAATATCCTCATATCAAAGCAGTCCTAGGAAGAAGATAGGGAAATAAAAATTAATTTATTTTGTAGCTCCAGGAATTATGTTTAGTGAAAATACAGATAACAGGATGGATTTCAGGACCATGTCCCCAAGGACATAAATTGAAATCAGTGTCCATTTTTGCTCCTGCATGTAAATGTCCACTTTGACTCATTCACCCAAGGGGCTGATTGTCAAGTCCAGGTTATTTTTCAGACTCAGTACTATTTTATGGTGATAGCTGCTGCTGCAACATCTAGCATTGTTGACAGAAATCATACACTGCTTCCTTGGTGCAGTATAAATACAGAGCAAGAAACAGCCTTGTGCTAGGGAGTGAAAATCAAATTACAAGTAGGAAAAAACACCATTCTCCTTCTACAGATGGAGGCCTCAGGCAGGAAGATACTGAGCTGGCCAGGTCTTCTCTCATCCAAAGCCTCCTGAATTTCAACAGTGTGTCATTACTCACAGGCCTTCTTTTCTTTTATTTTACACACTCTGTCTTGGCCATTTTGTATCACCCCCCCATTCCATTCAGTGTGATGTAAAGACCCTCCCTTTAAACACTTAGGATTCCGGTGAAGGAGATTTAGACATGGCTACGATACAGGGCTTCACTTTTTCTTGTTTTGTCTGGTTTAGTGTTCTGTTTGTCTTGCTCTATCTTGCTTGGAAATGCCAAATTTCAGATACAGTAACAGCTCAGCTGTGTTAACTAGCACTAGATTTTTAATAGCACTGCTCGTAGAAATGTGATCTTCAGCAGTAAAATCAAAAAAGGAGAAGACAAGTGCCAATTCCTACCACAGGAATAAAACAACAAAATAATAAAACATCTACGCTATATCCCAAGTTTATTTTTTACTGCCTTCACAGCAACTTAGAAAAATATATATTCTAAGGCTCACAAGCAACTGCAAAGCCTTTCAATGGTCTCAGGTTTTGCTCTTGGCAGAATTTATACTTTGAAAGTTACAGTTTGCACTTCCTTATTGCCCTTTCAAAAAAATTATCTGTCTGTTCCAGGGCTGTGCCTTTTACTGGGGATTCACATCCTGGATTGCATACTACATCAACCACCCACGGTACACGCCGCCATGTAGGTATGGGCAGGACACAAAACTGACAAACTCGCTCTGGAAAAGTCTTTGCTGTGTAACCTGAAGTTCTCCAAAATCAAGAAATGGGTCCCACATTAAATCATATGGCTGATCCAGCCAGAAATCAGTCTTTGCTCCCTGTCAGGAGGAAGATTGTTGTGTTGGAAGCAACTCTGCTTTGTGCCACTGAATGTTCGTGCCTGTTCAGCAATGGTCAATCGCTGTCCTGTTTATGAACACAACATTTTGGACAAGCAGAGAAAACACAAAGATCAATATATTTTGCTTATCTACACAACAATTGTACTAAAGAAGTCAGGAGAGAAATAGAGCTGGTGAGCTGGTTGCATTTTCTTGGAGGAGATATTTATTTGCTAAAGATACATCCTTTTCATGAAAATTAAGCTTTTTTTTTTTTCCCCCCTCTGAGAAACCAGTAAAAATCCATTACATACTGCTGATAACACAAATATTTTTTTTTTAATTTTTGGATTTCATCCATCATTTTGTTCCCTCTCATCATATTTTATTTTTGCACTGCTGTTTCTTTATGATTTTTTTCTGTTTTCTCTGTGCACTTTTGCTTCTTTTGAGAATAATTGGCACAGATTTTATATTCTGCTACCTTACTTTCCTTGTTATACCTTAGTCTTTCTTTTCCTCTGTATCTCAGATTTATACATGAACTTTGGGGAAAAAACCTTTGCTTTGCCATTTTTATTTACACTTAGTTATATTGCTAAATTTTTTTCAATCAAAAATTTCCCCTAGATGACACTTGCTTTTCTTTCAAACTAGCACCAACAAAATACAAAAGTTGTATTTCAAAATTATGTGATTCATTGAATGACAGTTGGATTTGGTGTGGCTTTGATAACAATGCTGCAAACAATGCAGAAACCTCCCTAGACACAGTTTTTAGCAGTCTGGGCTATCAAATCAATAAGTGCAGCTTCTTTATAGGGGAAGCTCTTTGTTCAAGACACAAAAGAGGAAGCATCCAGAAGAAATATTTCTAATTCCCTGCCACTGCTTTAAAATGCCTTTGGCACCACAGAGGGGTCCTATGCCAGCCAGGAAAAGGGAGTTCTCAAAAGTAAAGGCTTGATGAGACATGGCCAAGGCAAGTGAGGTAGGTACACGTGGTTTGTGTCCCCCAGCCATGACCAAGGTTTGCTTGGGAATTGTAAACCTTTGGACATGAACATGGTAGAGCCCTACACTGGTTTGGGGACAACCAGAAAAAGGAGGGGGCAGCCAGATGGCAGGTAAAATTTGCAATTATTAAATGTATTTCCTGCATGACTGTGAAGCAGGTAGTGGCTGTGTAGTAAAGCCTCACCATTGCCTCACTATTAAAGTAAAAAGAAGGCAATGGCTAGGTTATGCATTGAGTTTTCTGCTCCTGGAAGTAGAAGGGTCTATGGATAAGGCTGCAATTCTCAGCCTGATTTTGACACTGACCTTCACTCCACTCCCTTCCTTGCCTTTTGAGGGGATTCACCACCACCAGTTGCTTTGACAAAACACTTGGATAGATGAAGCTGGCAAATACTAAAAAAGTTGGGTGAAAACTGCCTTGAGATCAGTGGTGTAAAACTGGCATTTCTAGAGTGCTGTTACTGGTTGTATTGTCTTCATATTGTGTGTGATAATATCCAATCTCTCTGCAGAGCCTGTCAGGAAAGAAGCATTTCTGCTCCTCAGCACTAGATTAATTTCATCCATAGCAAACCATGTGCATACCGTAAAATGCAATTTATAACTTCATTCTGTTTTCTAGCATTTGGCCACAAACAAGTTTCTTATGCTGCTCTTGCTTTTCTGGTATGTACAAAAATGAAGTTTTATTTATGATGATGGAATAGGATTAACTCACAATTTAACAAAATGCAGTAATGCTTCTGTGCATTTGTGTGTATAAGTACATATAAGTCCATGCCCATAGCCTTGTGTACTTTGACTGGATTTAGTACTCATCTATTAAGGTTTCTCAGTCAGAGAGTGTTCTACTAATATTTATGTACACAGAGTTTAAACTGAAGTACTGTATTTGAGAGCCGTGAGAACATCATCAGCATGATTACTACTGGTAATTGTGTTAGAACACTAATATTTAGACAGACTGAACCTTGTCATTTTTAAAACATTGAAGTATTATGTATCAAGCAGACTTTGCAATTGTTCAGTACCCTGAATAACTTACATCAACAGCTATTAAAAACAATATAAATAAACCTTGCCAGATTGGGAAAAACCAATTTGGGATAAACTAAGGGAAAGTGTAGCTGATGAAGGATGGCTGAGACTACCCAACTTGCTGTTTGAACATAACTTTATAGCGAGCCAGAGGCTTGGTAAGAAGTTCTCATGGAAATGTATATCCCCTCTGTCCTCTGGAAATGCTGAGCCAGAGCCAAAGCATCCTTTTTGAAAATCAGATACAAACCAGTTTCCAGAAATATGACAGGGTGATGGGACAATCTAGGCTCCTTCAGGCAAACAATATTCAGAAAAACGTCCATAAACTCGTTAGCAATATTTTAATGCTTTTGTAAAACAGGACCCTTAAAGGTCACAGTTTTGGCAGTGTTTGTCTCTGAGTCTGTCCATGCAGTTCTCAGCTTTTCTTGCTCTAACAAGGTACAGCAAAGACAAGAAAAATTCCTCTATGAAGAAGTTCACACACTCCATGATGCTCTAGAGCCAAAAGCAATAGCCCAGTACCGCAGAGACAGGAGGCTGTGGCACTGGCAGCCAGCAGTACACCCAGACCCTGCTGTGGGCACCCTCCCCAGGCTCAGGGGGTGCTTGAACCCAAGCAAACTGCTTGCCTGAATGTTCAGTGCTGCCAGCAAAACTAGTCCTCATCAAAGTCTCTGCTTAGAGAAAGCCTCCTGTTCCTTTGAAACATCCTTCCCTGCACCAGTGGAACGTGCCCTGCAAGGAAAATGCTGCCATCAAGCAAAAGGATGAGTCCTGTTGGGGGTGTTTGCTATAAAATACATCAATCCCCTTAAGGTCTGCATCAGCACCTGGTCTAGGCTCTGCATTCTTACAGCTCTTTTGAGAGCTCCCTACCCATGGAAACTCAAGACCTGTCCCTTTGAGATCTCACGTTGGCAGATTCCCAGACAAAGAATTTAAAACATCAACATACGAAATAAAATAATTTGAGCTGTTTTCACAGGTTTCCAAAACATATGAATAAAATAATTGGAAGATTTCTTTTCTTTTTGACTCCCTTTTAAGTCTTGTCTTTATTACACATCCTGATTTAAGTGTATACATCTGCAGCTGCTGTAAACAACAGTACTGAGTAATATGAAGAATTTCTGCAGGTCCTCCTGGAAGATTCTCATGTTTAGAGAAATTAAGCTTTGCAGGGATTGTTTTTCTCATAGGGTACACTTGGAATATAAAGAGGGGAAACAGTGCGTAGGCTTCAATATTTTATTATTGTCAATAGCTTCAGCTTTTTCTCTGCTGTTTCCCGTTGCCCCATATTTTATATATGATAAACTGAGGACTAGATTAAATTTAGCATGTAGAACATTTACAGTCACATGTCTAAAGAGGGACATAAGAGTTAATCACAGCAGAATGCAGCTGCAGAGTCAAAGGTAAGCCGATAAAAATCCCTGCAGAAATGCCTTTAGCTTGTTTCACTTAGAATTAGTAGGGGTTAATTATAGTGTGTGAACATCTCTTGCTCTACAATACTATAGGCATCTCATTAACTATAGAATTTTACAAAACCACTTCTAACCACAAAAACTATTTCTTTAAAATAATACCAATCAGAAAAAAACAAATCACGTTCCCAGCTCATAATTGGAAGTATGTAAATTAAAATTACGTCCACTGCTATGCTTAGAGTTATAGCTTCTGATATGGCATTTTATAATGGAATTTCATTTTCTGGCTATTTAGTGTTTTACATCTGGTATTTATAGTAGAGGATTGTCAGTTAGCTGGAATTAAAAGAATTTAAAAGGACAGCAGGACTTGAACTGTAACTACCTATCCATGCAGAATAACAGCTAATAACAGATCTATTTATGAATAAACCTGATTTGAATCTTCCAAACAAACTCCACAAAAATCTCTGCCAAAATGGAGAAAATTCTTCAACAATTCTTCTATCTACAATGTTCTTTCAGGTAATAGCACATTTCAATATAAAATGAAATTACATATTTCTTTCAATTAGCTTCAAAAGAAATTTGTTATGGATGACTTTCAGAATTGACTTAAAAATGACAGTTGAAGTTATTCCTTTTTTGTATTAATTTTGTAACTTCACAATTTTAACAACTAGGTTTTAACATTTTCCTTTTCATTTTAATTTCTTCAACATTTTTGACCCTTGCAAGATATAGAATTATAAATTATATAAGAAAATGCAAATTTTAACACTGCATTTTTTCAATTTGAGAGGCCAAATCATCCTTCAAAACCAGAAATTATTAAAAAAAGTTCAATTCAGCCTGAGCTTGAACTGCATACACCGTTTTAGTTTTCTTCACAGAGTAGGGGAAAAAAATGAAAACCATAAAATTATATAGTTGTGATGACAGGTTATCTTCTTCAGGAATTTAAACTGATTTTCCTACCAGTTCCCATTTTAAATATGGGCAAATATTGATTTTCATTTTTCAGCAGTCGTAAGTGATGAAGTACTGAAGGGCTGAAGCACATCTGAAATCAGCCTGTGCTGCAGGGTGTAAAACCAAATGGAGAGAAATGGTACTGCTACCAAAGGTTTGAAATACCTGAATGTTAGACACCATCTTTGAGCAGTTGGTTATGGCTGGAAACGGCGTAACCAGAGAGTTCCAGAACCAGGAATAGGACTGGCTCCCTTCCTTTATCAATCCCTGACTAGGGATTGATAACTTTCAACCAGTTTGCCTTTTAGAGATTACTGCTTTTTTAAATCACCCTTTTATCCCTTCCTGTTCTGCTGAACACCTTTGAAAGCGTGTGTAGGAAGAGGGGTAGGGACATTAACCAGTGACACCTTTACAAAACGAGAAAGTCAGCTTTTCACCTGCTTCTCTGCAGCTTGGATTAAATCCAGAAAAAAATCAAGAAGAGCATCTTGATGGATTCCTTAGAACCAGGGATGTTGCACAGGCTGGGCATGGGAACCCCACTAAAGGCCTGGCTGCACAGAGCTCTGTGGAGATGTTCCAGGGGCTTTCACTCAATGTTTTCCACAACGTTCACTGGACACTCATGTGTGTGACAGAAATCACAGGCTGTTTTCTGGAATACATGTTTCCTGGATACAGAGACTGAGTTGTAACGGGGAGGGTTCTGGTTATGCACTGCACACAGTTGCCACAGCCTTTTAGGCATATGACTGAAAATATGTTTTTAATGTCTTGCAGATGTGTGAAGCTGGAAATCACTTTATCAACGTAGCTTTAGCTCACCAAACCAATTCAGGTCTGTCTTTGTTTCCTGTTCCTTAACCTAGCCATCTTCTGCTGTTATACAGTAATTTATGTACCTACAGCCACTGAATAAAGAAAGATGAACTAGTAACCATGCCATTGGTCTAACACCTTCAAAAATTTGTGACAAGAAAACATTAGTAGCACTGCTGTTGTTTCAAAACTTATAGCAAATTTATCTTAATTAGACACAAGTGCAATTTAAATATGGATTTAAGTGTTGAAGTTCTTTAAAGCATGCTGGTGACTGACATCAATGTATTTAATTTTAAATAAGTCTCAAAAACTTCTAAATTATATTGCAGAGTTTTTAGACAAATTCTTCTCAGGCAAAGATGTACATGCATATATTCAAATACACAGAGACAGACTCATGAATACTTATACAGTGTATATATATGCTCTTAACAGGTTGGGGTTTCTGCATTTGTGTGTCATGAGAATAAAGGTTATGCAATATATACCAGAAAGTAAAATATGTTTTCAGACACTAATAGTGTAATTTCTCCACTAGAACACCCTATTAAAGAAAATACCACAGTATGATCAACTACACACACAGAAGTCAATTTCCTTTCTGGAATGTTTTCATGCGCTGTGGTTAGGAAACTGCTTATGTTATTTCTTGCAAGGGGCTTAATTCAGCTTAAAAGCAGAAAGAGCCAAAAAATTGATTTAAGTTCTTTCTCACTGGGATAAATACAGCTTTTGCTACCTCAAAAGATTTCACTGAAACTTTTCTAACAGGTTGTACCCTGAGAGCATTGGCCCAGGGGATTGCTGTTACAGAGGCAGGCTGTGATAAGGCTCAGCTCCCCTCTCCCTGGACTGAAACTGGTTCTGATTTTCCCCACCCTTGTTTTTTTCCCTTTCACAAGGAAATAGAACCTGTTTTCCAAGTCCAACCTACAACCCCTTCACGTGGCTCTTCCTGCTGGTATCCTGTCCCAACTACACATATGAGGTACATGACTTTCTTCTGCTTATGTGCAAAGGGTAGGTGGGTACTGTTTCAGCTTTTGTCTGCAGAAAATCTGCAACACCTCCACGCAGTTTCCTCTGCACATCCATCCTCGTGCTTTGTATGTCAGAATCTCCTTGCTCCCACAAACATTTCTCCACCAGACCCTCTGCTTCCCTCACATCCCTACCACATGGACTTTTCTCTATATTTCCCTCCACTACACTCTCCCCAGTGATCTAAAATTTACCACCCATCCCTTCACCGCATCCAGCACACTGGGGGGTTAATTTCTTACTATTTTTCCTCTCCCATTTCCAGTACAAGTACCACACTCTTTTTCCATGGGGAGCTTTTGAAAACTTGCCGTTTTGCTTTACATAAAATATAGAACTAACTGTGCCTTTTTCTTTGCAACAGGCTGGGTCTTGGATTAGTTTCACGGTGATGACACAAACTCTGCCAGGTAAGTTTGAAACAGAATGAAGACAGCATTTAAAGTGTCTGTGGAAGAGAATTCTAGAAATCTAAGATTTGCCAAAAAAGTTTATAGTATATGAAATATTGCCATCAAATTTGCCATATGAGATAAACCTCCAAGATGCTCTTAAGAGCAGCCTGCTTAGTGGAATCTGAGACTCTTCCTCAGTACTTGGCTGCATTCTTAGAAGACCTAAACACTCACACAAAAATATGGTCCCTGGGACTGAGCTATCCAAAACATTCAGTTTTTAAATTATTTTTCCATTTCAAAACAGAAACCTATAAAAACTACTTGTAAGAAGTAGCCCCACACAGCTTACAAATGGAAAAGAACGAATTTCAAAAGTGGGTTAAACTGCATCATGCAAAAAATAAATTGAAATTTTGTTTGAAAAGATGAAAAGTTCTTGTGTTTTAGGCTTTGGTATGAAAATTCCCTGTAAGTCTGGGGACAATGTAGGGCTGTCCCTACAGTGGCAGGAGCAGAAACATATGCAGCACACTCATCCTTGCTGTAATTGTCCCAGACATAGCTTGACTGGACACCAAATGGATGTTTCTGATTAACCACCTCCACATTAATCAAAGGATAATGAATTTGCAAAATGCAAATGCAGTAAAATGATCCCCTATTTGGTGCCTATTTGTTGGATCTGGCAGCTACTGCCTACTTGCTTTAGGGCCAAGCTCTCCCTCTACACAGCAGGGAGTTGGAGCACAGCTCCCTGCCATGGTTGGGAGCCAGAGGTAGAAACAAAGAGGTGTTGGAGTTCAAAAGTAAACTAGAAATATGGTCGAGGGAGGTCATGAGTTGAGACAGCACCATGGCCAAGGAAGCCTTGTGATATATGGATTTATGTGAAGTCAGAGGTGGTACAGGGTGTGTCTAACAAATGTGAAGGTAATCTGTGTGAATTCTGAGGGGGAGGCTGAGCCTTGGGCTATGGTATACCAGGCTGAGAGGAACTGCTGTGTTCCCTCTGCCCACAAAAGAGACTGCAAATATTTCCATAAACCCTACTGCATCTCCAGAAACAGGCACTGAAAGAGCACACATGATCCCTTTCTTCGAATCTTTTCCCCTGCTAGTTGGCATCTTTGCCTTCCTGATGGTCATCCAGATGTCTCTGTGGGCCCAGAAGAAACACAAGCTGTATCTGAAGAGATTTTATCCAGAAGTGAGAAGAAAAGCAGCTATGATCCCCATCATCTTCTGAGATTGCCACCAGAGTAGGAGCCTGAGTGTACACTCCAGAGCCAACTCAGAGTAAATGAGCCATTTCATTCAGGAACTAAGTGGAACAGAGGAAAAACTATTGGATATCTTTTTCAGGAAATTAACAGTTCAAGATGAAGAGGTTTTAATTAAATGCAAAAATTTAGCTCTTGAATTCTTGGTTCCTGCTAAAAGATATGATTTAATTAGATTTTCTGTAATGGAGCTAATTGAAAAGGGACAAGAAAATTGCTTACATTGAATGCTAGATATTTAGCTGGTGTAAATGGGCACAGATGCTGCTAAAATTAATGAACATGACTCATCTGCCACATTCAGGTATGGTAATTTTAAGGTTCAGTGTTAGATGTTGAGGAGAGTCTTTTGATTTTTTCATCATAAGATGTTTCACAGCCTTATTTTTACTAAACTGCACAGAAAAAGCACATTCTGCCTCAGCTCCTCTAAGGCATCACATCAAAGGATGACCACTATGCTGTGAACACTGTTTAGTCAAGCTTCACTGAGTTGGTTTTTTTTAAATCAAATCTCATAACAAATTGTTTAATACAAATTGCCTTAAATTGCTCATTGCAAAGAGGACTGTCTTTCTTTTATTTTTAGGCAGGCAGATCAGCCCCACAATCCCACAAGGGGACCGCTTGTGACCGCTTCCCATCTTGTAACTAATTTGGGGCATAACCTTGGGTACATCACTGAGGATCACTTCCCTTTCTCACACTGAACAGTCTGGGAATAGCAGAGAACCTTCTGCACTAACAAGTGTGTTCAGATCCCCTTGTTCAGTGCCTGACTGCATCCAGACACCATTCACCTTTACTTGTGTGAAGCAGTGTGGAATCCTTGGGCACAAGGTGAAACAGAGTGTGGCACAGGAAAGAGATGCCAAATGCATTTCAGTCCATATCTGAACTGCTTCAGGTGGACACTGCTGACAGGCTTCAGCTCCCCTTTGCCTTGGCCAGACTCTATCTGCTACTTTGCTTTCCATGACATTATTTTTTAAGGGATTCTCTGGGCTTGTTATTCAAGCCCTGGAAATCCTGAGTAGCTCTCTTTGCAAATCAGTGGCACCCATGTCATGCAGGAGCTCAATTTCAGTAAGGCAGAGTAAAAGAACCAGAACTGTTTCAGCAGGTGTTAGGATATGAAGAGTTAGAGCATTGAGTCCAGCTTTCATTCTATTTCTGTTGCACATTTTGGCGCCCTTAGGCTGGTAAAAAAAATCTTGCCTAAAGAATTTTATAATCATTAGAGAAACACTGGAGTACACCAGCAAGGCAGGCAGTTCATCTCCTAAAGGTGCTGTTATCTTTGCTCCAGCTCAAGTGTTCTAACAAAGTTAATTTGCCTGGTAAATTGGGTTCACATCCCTCTTCTAATGTCTAACTTGCAACACTTATCCTATTAGCCACTGTAACTCAGTTTCATCTTTGTAATGTAAATACATCACTTTCCATATTTTTTAACTTGCAACCTGTGAAATAAAATTTTTATTCCTCTCAATGGAAAACCCTAATCAAAGTGAATATCCAATTCTCCAACCCGGACTGCTAATAAAGATCTATTTTTGAAAAATTATTTTCTGTACTCTTTAATCAAATACTTAACCACAATATTTTTAGAAGTCTTGTTTTCCCAGAAAATGTTAGATGTGTGAATAAAGGTGGTTGTCTGTTTTTTTTTTTTAATCCAGCTACTGAAATTCTTTTCCCTTTGTGTTTATTAAATTAATAAAATAATTCTTATTTTAGCAATCTTAAAGTTAACGTAGTCCATATAGGAGAGTAACTTATTAAAATCAATTAGATATCTTTTAATCTTTTGATTGCCATGGCTGCAGCTTTAAGTCTGCTCAAGGCATGTTTCCAGTGGGATTCCAATTGCTAGGAACACAGTTCCTATTCAATAGTTAGCTTAGGTGGAAGAAATACTTCTGGAATTGTTAACCCCCCGTTTATTAGTTGGTTATTCAGTGCATGGGGTGAGGGGAAAAGTTTTGGCTCCTGAAGTAAAGGAAAAAGTAAAGTACAGGGTGAGAGCAAACACTAGGTAAGAACAAATGAAGATACATTGCAGAAGGCTGTCTCAGATAAACATGATAGATATTTTGAGTTTCACCAGTGGGGTGTTGATGAGCTAAAACTGCTCTGAACAGTGCTAAATGGCCTCACAAACAGCAATAAATCTAACTCCCTGCACCTTTACCTTCCTACACATCCTCCTCTGATTTTCAAGGCAAGTTCCATGCAATTAGAAAAGGTAAGTTAACTTCCTGGAACGGGGACAGGGTGCATGCTCTGCTTAAAAAAAAAAGGTTTATAAAAATCACCAGTCTTGGTTTTGATAAATGTATCAGAGGCCTTGCTTATAGAGCATAAAAACCCCCCAAACAAACAAACAAAAAAAAACCACCAAAAACCCCACACAGATAAAATAAAAGTATTCCTATATAAAAAAATCTACAGTGATTTTAGCCCACAAGCCCCACGCACATTTTCAACCAAAATAGTTGTCTTCACACAAACATTTTAATGAGGAAGCTTCTCATAATTGCGCTGGTTACCTGGAGAAAAATGCCTCATTAAACTCTATATATCCAGATCTTTCTCCTATGAGGGGCTGATGGGGAAGCAAGTGGTCAATGCAAATTCTTTCATTTGTGTTTTCTCCTAAGTGCAGACCTGACTTCCCAGAGCCACCAGTGGAAGGAAGGCATGGGCAAGGTCACCCCACTACCAGAATCCCACCACGTTTCCAGGTCAGAGGAAGTCAACCTCTAACAAGAGCCATAACAGCTCACAGAGGCAAAAATTACCACATTCCTTACAAAAGGGAGGAGGGCAGGAGCGCTGGGCAGCAGGAAAATCAAGTGGTTGAAGTTGGAAACATGTTCTGGTTAGCCATGAGGAGCTGCTACAGACCCGTGTATGTGGCAATTCCCGCTTAACCCTCTTCAGGAGGGAAACCATCAGAACCAGGAGACCACAAATAAAGCAAGATACAGGGACTAGACAGCAGTTTGGTCAGGAAATGTAAAAACAAACCAGATGGAGTATGAATAGATCCTTCCTCGCCTGCCCAATAAAGACTGTGTGAATGGCATTGCCATGGGACTAAAGTATATCTCAAAATAATCCCTGTTCCACATGCAGAGATTGCTCAACTTCCAGGTCTTTCCATGCTCACCCTGCAGCTTAAAATTGGAATTTTGCTGGAAATCTCCACATGGATGAGTCCCAGCTGTCCCAAATTATTCCTAAAACATTCAGATTAAGGAGTCTAAAGTTAAACCTCCAGATACAGAGCTCTACATTTTTGTGGGTTGTTCTTGCCATAAAATGCCAACCTGGAAAAGAGCAGGCACCAGCTCAGGCTTTCTGGTGGTGCAGGGAGGCGTTGTGATGGGGAACTGACGTGGCAGATGCTTCTGTACACAACTTGGCAGCCTATATTTGGATTCCCAGTTTGAAAAAGCCCTTAAGACCCAGCCATATGTTTGTCTTATAAGATGGTTACCACATCTTCGCAGCTGACAGGAAAATGATCTCTGTGATTTCATCTTTCCATAGGGAAAGTGGAGCTCAAAAGGACACTGAAAGCAGGAGAAGTGAATAAAGGCAGATGGTCATCCTTTTTAAAAGTTGCTATTATCATCAAAATATTTTGTCCTTTGCATTGTTTTGTATAAAGTAAGTGACTCCAAATTGGCTTTTATCACACTAGGAACTGAGATAAAACAGCCTGTTATCAAAGCAGTTCTCTGAAAGAGAGCCCCGCAGTGTTAACTAAATATAACAAAATAAAAATCACTGAATGTGAAGACTTCTAAAGCAAACTGTAAGAGGAAAAAAGCTATAGGAAGGCAAGAGACTATTTATCTATTTATAGGTTTAACAAGTGTTGCTGAACTAAAAATTAATTCAAACCATAAAAAGCTTTTCAGCAAGCTAATATTTTTTACATGATGCTTTATTGGCTTTCCTTTTCTATATTTTCCTAGGCACAAGTGCTGCCTACAAGTGATATTCCTTGGCATTAACATTCATGGACGCTCTTAGAGAAACACGCTCTATGCCTACCCCAGTGTTCAATAAATAAATGTACATGAAGAGTTGTGCTGTCACTGAACACAGATTAGTACCTATATGAACAATATTTTTTTATGAAAGGTCTGTTTCATCATAGGTGAGTGCACAGAGGCTGCTGTACAGCTACAATTAAAGGTGATTTTCACATCACACATGTTTAGCACCACAGAAGAATGTTTGTGTTAATGGTCTCTGCACATCCTTCAGCCACCTGTGACTCAGACTTACAATCTTTCTGCAGGTATCAGCTCCAAGAGCTGAGCTGTTCCATGCCTTTATCCTGGTCCTGATGTTTGATTATTCATTTGTGTAGCACACCAGAAACTGCCTCTCACCCAGTTCTTCCCTGAGAGGACACTTGAGAACACATTTATTTTTCCATCTTGTCCAGCTGGACGAACAGTTGTCCAGTGTTGCCCACTCTGTCACTGAAATATTCTGTGTTGAATTTCCTTGGAATGTAATAGTCAATCTAAAACCACTTTATCAAAAGAAAACACAAGATAATGGATCCTGAAATACGTATGCTTAGGTTAAAAAAAAATCTGCCACACATTAACACCTCCACAATGCCCAGTCTTCTATCATGTAACCTGCTTTTATGTAACTTCTGAAGCCTTTGAAAACTCAGGAACCAAGTATGAGGAAATCATTTATAGTTAAAAGAAATATGATAAGGCTATTCAATAATACTAATGAATTCCATATTTTAAAAAAGCAAACTTCACATCTTTTGTCAAAGAAATCTGATTGTTAACCAGTTTTTTCCTAACACATATTATTATTCCTGTGAAAAAGTAATACTGCTCTATGACTGATTCCTTTCAGTATTCCGAGTACCTGGTCATACTCAATAGGAAAAGGCTTTTGTTTCAAAATTGCAGGTTTC